TCCCAAGACTCAGGAAGGCATTCTAGAAACTTAGTCAAGGTTTCAGAATTACAAATATTCCCTGCCGACAGCCCTAAGATCAATAAGAAGACAATTAAATCTTTGATGTACTTCAGACAGTGTCTCGAACTTTCCACAGAGAAAGCTTTCATACTGTCTTACTAGATTGATCTTTCTAGTCTCCTGAACCTGAGTAGTTCCTTCATATTGGACACAAATAGTATCCCATACGGATTTAGAAGTTTTGAGTTTCATCACTAAGTGATAGATCTCATCAGGAAGAGACATAGCAATTATAGACTGAGCATGCGTGTCTATAGCTATTTTCTTCTTGTCCTCATCGCTCCACTGATGTGGAAGCTTTGGAATCTTCCGTTCAGGAATCGCGGTAGTTGTAGCTGTTTCTGGAACAGCCGGAACAATAGCAAATGGAATATATGGTCCATTTTCTATGTAATGTGGAATTTCAGGATCCACACCTTCCAGAAAGAGGGACATCTGGTTCTTCCAGAGACTAAAGTTGTCATGGACAAACCGGGGAGGTTTGGCAAGAGAGCCATTATCTTTTGTGTGTGTTTGTAATTTGTAAAGCCATTTGTAAGCAGTAAGTTATCTAAGAAGAGATAAATTAATACAGAAAATTAGCCAAACATAAGGAAAGAAAGAAAACACTGCTCTGATACCACTTGTTGGTCCCGTAAGGGTCTAAAAGAAGAGAAACAGTTTGTAGAAGGGGGGGATGAATAGAAACACAGTATTTTCAAATTTAAAATATATATTGATAAAGAAGATCAATACAGATTTTACAAGATTGTTTGCAGAAAGATAAGGTAATAAAAACTTATCTAAATAATCTTTGGTTACACACAAAGCTTTAGCAATTACAAGAAAAGAAGTTGCTAAAAGAAAGATCATTTACTTAAGCTAGAAGATGCTTGAAGTAAGAATGAAGTTAGAGAGAGATGCGCTCTCTCTGCATGGAGAAGAAAGACTTCTATTTATACCCAGTGCATTAAATGATCATTTAATGCAATACGGTAGGTTTAGAGTGCGTGTCAAACCTTAAGAGGAAGGCTTGTCCTTTACTACAGTGAATAGTATAAAAGCACTATTTTTGAGCAGACATCCTTACCTAAAGTTGGTGGACAAAGAGTCCACTAATCGGCTCTGTACCGTACTAACTTTTGTAAGGGTATAGGTTTGTCCTTTGTGTGCATAAGGACAAGACAACAACAATCGTGCTAAGCAAGCTTCCTTTGATCGCTGAATACTGGAATGACCTGAAGGTCTCATCATCATTCGCTGAAGCTAGAGCAGTCTTCACACATATATAGACAGACTTGTAATCACTGAATACCGCTTCAGATCACGTACTCGCCGGTCTCTAATCTTCAGTTTCAGTCTTCGATGTTTGATGAAGGTTCTTTGGTGTGAGTGTTGTCTTCTTGAAGTATTGCTGTCTCTGATAGATTTACAATGCAAGTTCTTCAGCGATCACTGAACATACTTAGTGAAGATCGCTGGAACTAAAAATACAGAAACACAAATACAACGTGAAAGAGAAAAGGGATTATCATTAAATCACTGAGAGAGAGGATCAACATAACCCAATATCAACCAAATACCTACGGTTTTACAATTTTACAACTCGATTAGACATCGGGTTGCTTCAGGTTGGGTTATTTCGCGTTAGGTTGGGTTGGGTTGGGTTGATCGGGTTGATCGGGTTGGTTAGGTTTTTGAGCACCCCTATCTGTTATCCATGTTTTTAATGACTGACAAATTGAGATTGAGGGATGTGGGTTACCAATTCGTTTGTTCCTAATGCCGATAAGGGATTTAGATGTTGTGGTGGGTATGGATTAGTTAGCAGAGAATCAGGCTAGCATTGTATGTAATATAAATATGATAAGCATTGATTTACCAGAGAAAGAGCCGATTTTTATTTATGGTGATCGGCAGAATCATCACACTAGCCCAATATCTACTATGAAAGCCGGAAAGTTTGCCCAGAAGGGATGTCAAAGTTTTTTGGCCTATGTGATTGATTCAAATAAAGAAAAAGGTAAATATCCTGAGGTATTTCTTGAAGATTTATCTAGTTTACCACCTGATCGATCAATAGAGTTCAAAATTGATCTAACGCCTGGGGCAGCACTAGTGGCCAGAGCTCCATATCGTTTGGCACCGTCTGAATTAAAAAAATTAGTGACTCAACTAAAAGAATTGCTTGATAAGGGCTTTATCAGACCGAGTACATCTCCTTGGGGTGCTGCCATGTTATTTGTTAAAAAGAAAGGCGAGACGATGAGAATGTATTAGATTATCTCGAGTTGAATAAAAAGACAATAAAAAATAAATATCATTTGCCAAGAATCGATGATTTATTTGATCATCTTGTTGAAGCAAGTTACTTCTCTAAAATCGATTTGCGACCAGGGTATCATCAACTGAAAGTCAAAGACGAAGATTTTGCCAAAACTATGTTCCAAACTAGATACGAACATCATAAGTTTCTGGTCATGCCGTTTGGTCTAACAAATACTCCAGCAACATTCATGGATCTGATGAATATGGTATGTAAGGAATATCTTGATAAATTTGTATTATTGTATCAAAAGCTGAGCATGTCGAACATTTTCATTTAATTCTTGAACTTTTGAAGAAGGAGAAATTATACGTAAAGCTGTCTAAGTGAGAATTCTGGTTGAGAGAAGTTCAACTTTTAGGTCAGATTGTTTCTGAAGCAGGGGTAAAAGTGGACCATACAAAGATTGAACCTATTGTGAGATGAGAAGTATCGAGAACCCCCACTGAGATTGTAG